AAGAAAACCATGTAAAAGCAAAAGCAACACTTGATAAACAATCAGAATCAATATCAAATGAGCGTAGTATTAGTAATAACAAGAATTTGAACAATGATTCAAATCCATCAGCATCACAAAATCCACAAGATCTTCCTCCCCTTAGACCTCTTAAAAAATTCCAAAACTACGTTGACTACGATTTCTCAAAGATGCGAGATTCACGTGGTGGATTCTTATTCGAGGAGGAAGAAGAAAGAGGAGGCGGGAAAAATAAACAAAAAATAGAAATACAATTCCAAGAAGATCCACGAAATTTTTTGAGCATGGATATGGAAAAAAATCCCAAATGCAACGAATGCCACGAATCAATTGACCTCGATTTTAATTTCTCGAAAATTTTCGGGGTACAAGTGTGTTTCACGTGCAAAAACAATCTTCCGGAAAAGTATAGTCTCCTAACAAAGACTGAAGTAAAAGAAGATTACCTACTAACTGATGCTGAACTTCGTGATGCCGAACTGTTGCCTCATTGGTTGAAACCGAATCCGCATAAGTCAACGTGGAACTCAATGATGTTATTTCTTCGAATGCAAGTTGAAGAGTTTGCGTTTAAAAAATGGGGCGGGGAGGATGGTCTTGATCAAGAATATCAACGTCGACAATCGGAGAAACAAAAGCAAAAGGAAAAAAAATTCAGGTCAAAGATCGCTAGTTTGAGAAAACGTACTCGTACCGATGAGGCGGAAAAAAGTCGGCAGCGATCCCATACTCATGAGTTTGGTCCTGCTGTATTGAATCCTGAAACTGGTGTCTCTGTGCAGACTTGTGATTCTTGTGGTATGAAAATAGAAGTCGTGGAGTTTTGAATTGGGGCAAATAGTGAATCATTTTTTTTACATTTAATAATGTAATATATTCTCTAAATGAGACTAGTTGTTAAACTTTTCACGGGGGTAGCATTTATTCACTTAACTATGTCTTAAGAAACATTAGTGCTAATTTTGCAATCATAGTCCAACAAGAGGCCTATCATTCTTCATAGAAATTAAAAAATACTTTTTAAACTGAGGAGTTATTGCCAATTTTTTTTTACAATCCCTTTTTCTGTGAATTATATAAACTTACATGATAAACTTTACATAATGAAACTTAGTGGATCATCACCACTATTTTTATTACTACCACTAAGAATATCTATTGATGGTATTTGCTGCTGTAGTATGTCATGTTCTCTGAGGTATTCGTCGTTCCTAATAATATGGAAGATAATATATATATATATAAATCTTCATGATGCGAGGAAAAATGGAGAAAATTAGCACGTACCAAAATTTGGTCAGATGCTATTTGGTTTATTATTAATTAGCTCGGATATTCAGAATAAATGATTACTACCACCACGCATAAAAATATAACGAATATAACTTACACGCTGTCCTGAATCACATAGAATTGTGACTATCCGGTGACCAGGGCCCAACATCCGAGCAACACGTACAGCTCCAACACAGTTCATTGCAGAAGAACTCCCAATAAAGAGGCCTTTAAACATTATACAAATAACATCATAAAAGATAACGCAATAAAATATAAAAACGAATAAATAAAAAAATCAAACCAACCTTCCTCACGCACCAAATATCTTGCCATCTGAACCGCCTCCTGATCCGTAACTCTAATCGCATCATCAATAAACTCCCGCGCCAAATCAAAATTTTTTGTAAGTCGATTTAACCCGACTCCTTCAATAACTGTATCAACTTGATGTCGTCTTCGTGAACCTTCTGCCTCGTATGGAGAGTACATGATGTTGTGTTTTATCTTGTGGTAAAGCCCGGATCCGGGTGGGTCAACGAGAAATACCTTAAGTTTTGGAATTAAAGGTTTTAGATAACTGGAAACGCCGCCGATTGTACCGCCAGTTCCTTTATATCGAGTTCATGATATTTTATCATTGATGCGAATGAATTGATTCTCAAATTCATATAAAATAATTATTATTAACCTGCGCCCGCAACAAAAGCACTAATTTTTCCATCTGTCTGTTTATAAATTTCCGGCCCAGTCCCATAACAATGAGCCTGAAAATTCGCCAAATTTTCAAACTGATCCGCGAAAAATCCTCTACCCTTTCCACCATTGCTATCGTTATCTGCTTCATGTTCTTTTCCACCACTAAACTCTAAAGCCCGTCGTTTCGCAAGATTAACATATTGATTCTCATCAACAATACTAGCCGGTCTTGTTTTCTCAACGTGTGCGCCTAATTTCTCCAATAACTGGTACTTCTCCTGCGCTTGATCATCAGGCATAACTATCCACGCGCCATACCCCTTCGCACGAGCAATCATTGCGATTGAGATCCCAGTCGACCCGGAAGTTCCCTCGAAAATTACGCAGCCAGTGTTTGGTTGAATTAGTCCTTGTTCTTCGGCCATTTGAATCATGTTTAGCGCGACACGATCTTTGGGACTTCCACCCGGATTCAGAAACTTTACGATTATTGATGGTAATGTAGATTTTTCAAATGGAAAACTTGAGGTTGAAAATATTTTTCGCAGCCAGGTTGACTATATCACTTACTTCGGCTTTCGCCTGTTCATTGTCATTTAAAAAGATGATCTTTTATCAATTGCAATTTTACAAATTACACGTACTATCAATACAAGTTTACCAATATTTCACATCCTGTCGCTTTGCTTAAGCTACGTATTTTTATCATTGGTGTATTTCCTATTAAGCCTTCTACACCATTTACAATCTTTTTCACTGCAATTTCACTAGAATGCAAACGAGCCGCCTCCGAAGACAATGACGCCGCGTCTCTTTCACAGCGCGAAATTAAGAATTTAATGGATAAAGTAGTTAAAACGCCTACTATTAGGCCCAAAGCGAGTGAACCTGTTCGATCCATTTATGGTGCCGGGAAGTCTTAACTCAAAAATTTGTTTCAAATTGCTGTATGCAATGTAAATCAGCATATCACGTGAAAAATGAATGCATGTGATATGCTAATCTACATTGTAATGATAGGTTTAATCATGATTCATTTGATACATCATAATAATAGGACATAAAATGCATGAATGTATTAACATTTATTTTTTACTTTGTTTATTTTTTTCTCTTCTCATATTTATTTTTTTATACTTAATTTTTATTATTCTTTTAATATTTCTGATAATTATTTATATAATTTAAATTTATTACTTATAATTCATTTAACAGCTTTATTCTTTAACTCTTTATTATATATATTTATATATATCTTCATGACTTATATATGAATTTATGGATTATAATTATAAATATATTATTAAGAATTTTAAAAATCTGATTTAATAAGTATAATTATAATATATAACAAAAAAAATCAGATATTTTAATTTTCTTTATAAATATTTATTTAAATAATATAAAAATTTAAATATATATAGTGATAATCAAAAGTAATAACTCAGGAGCTAAATTTACTAATAAAATATAATGAAAATTAAAATTTTCTTTCTATATTAAAATTTATAATTTTAATAAGAAATAA